ATATCACAAGAATCAGTCCTGGGGCATCAATTTTTATATCATCTATATTAATGACTTGGAAGAGGGGGAACGGTGTAATGTATCCAAATTTGTTGGCAATACAAACATAGGTGGGAGGGCACATTATGATGACAACACAAGGAATGTGTAAGAGAATATAGATAGATTGGGTGAATGAGCAAAAATGTGGTAGATAGAGTTTATTGTAGTGTGTGGTATCATGCACTTTAGCAGGAAGAATCAATAGGCAGACCATTATTTAAATGGTGCACAAGCCCAAAAAAGTGTAGCTCATAGGGATCTGATTGTTCTTGTGCATGAAACACAAAACATCGGCCTGCAAGTGCAGCAGGTAATTAAAAAGACAAATGGGATTTTGGCCTTTCTTGCAAGGGGGTTGGAGTTTTACAATAAGGAAGAGTTGTTACAACGGTACAGGATGTTGGTGCGGCCACACCTGGAGCATTGTGTACAGTTTTGGCTCCCATATTTGAGTAAGCAACATTGGAGGTGATTCAAAAGAATCATAGAATCACTATAGTGCGGAAAGAAGTCCATTCAGCACATCAGGTCTCCACTGAACCTCCAACAAGCATCCCAACCAGACCCAGCCCCACACCCTATCCCCATGTTTATCATGGCTAACCCACCTAGACTTCATGTCCCTGGACACTACAGGGCAACTTAGCTTGGCCAATCCATCTAACCTGCACATCTCTGGACTGTGAGAAGAAATCAGAGCACCCAGAGGAAACCCACACAGACATGGGAAGAACATGCAAACTCCATGCAGACGGTCACCCAAGGCCAGAATTAGACCGGGGCCCCTGGCAATGTGAGGTACCAGTGCTAACCACTGAGCCACTGTGCCATCACTAAAATTCCTGGGATGGAAGTGTTGACTTAGCATGGACAGCTTTATTCTTTAGAGCTTTGAAGAATGAGAGGTGATCTTATTGAAACATACAAGTTTCTTAATAGGGTAGATTTTGAACTTGGGGCACATAGTTACAAGACAAGAGGACACTCTTCAAAACCAAAAAGCAAAGGAATTTCATCTTTTGGAGGGTAGTGAAAGTCTGGAAATCTCTCCCTCAGAGTGTTATGGACAGTAGGTCACTAAAAGAGGAGGCAGATAGGGTTTTGAAATAACAAGGTGTAGAGCTGGATGAACACAGCAGGCCAAGCAGCATCAGAGGAGCAGGAAGGCTGACGTTTCGGGCCTAGACCTTCTTCAGAAAATCAGGGTTTTGAAATATCAGGGAGTTGATGGCTGTAAGGAGCTGGCACAAAAGAGGGCCTGAAGCCTTAAGGATGCCAATATAGATATATTCAGTGACACCATTTGACAGGACAGAGCAGTCCATGCGTTGGCCATGGTGATGTATTCATGAACGGGAAGTGAAGATGGAGGATGGGGTCCCAGTTAGAGTGGGGCACAGGCTGGGAACGGGAGTGCGCAGGTTGGGGAGTCAGGGGAGGGCCGGGGGAGTAGGGTGTGGGGAGGCCTGCACCAAGAGTGAGAGAGGAGGAGGAGACCTGCAGACGTGGTGGTTGGCGAGAAGTTGTGGAGGTAAAGAGGAGGGGGTTCCTGTAACTGGAATGGGTGTGAAGCTCATTCAAGGGGCCTGCCTCCTCGTTGCCTGGGAATGACAGGAGGGCTGGGGAAATACCGGAAGGCTGCAGGCAGAGTGGGAGAAAGAGAGAAGCTGTTAGCGGAGAATAAAATCTCTTTTTGTTCTGTGGTGCAGGCTGTTTTATTGTACATCCAGGCAACATCCTCCTTAGACAGGCAGCCGCTCCCCATTGCTTGAGAATGCTATCTTATCCTTCTGCTCCAAAGGCAATTCATAGGAAATTTAGCCTTTAAGTGAACCACAAAATTGTCAACATATTCAGTTCTGTGTGGCACTGCCATCTTAGAATGTGTTAAATTTAGGCCCTATTTTCTATCTTGGTGTGAAAATTGTCTAATAACCATTTCAATGATGTTTCTGGTGTTTTTTCACCTACCTAATCAGGTGTCGGGACTCGAGCACTTTTGATTATCACTGTGAGAAGCACTTTGGTTTAGGTGTGAAAGCTGCCGGATGCTCAAGCTATGTGATGTCCTTAACATACCCATACGTTTACAAAACATAGTATCTTTGTAACAAGCAACAACAAAAATGTATATTTATATAGCGCCTCTAACTTCATGAACTGTACCAAGGCATGTCCCAGGAGCGTTATAACATGAAGCATGACACCAAGTCACGTCAGGAGATAATAGGCCATGTGATCAAATTGGGTCAAAGAGCACATTTTTAATTCTGAAAGGAAAATGTTAACAATGGAATGGCTAATAGGGAAGGCATTCCTCAGTGACTAGTGGCACAATCATCAAATAAGAAGTGATGAAAACTAAATTTATACAAGAGGCCAGAATTTGAGGACAGCTGTCTCAGAGGGTTGGTAGCATAGACGAGATCAGAGAGGGAGGGCTATTTAAACAAGGATGAGAATTTTGAAATCAAAGGATTGTTTGACTGCTAGCCAGTCCGTGGACACAGAGATGATTGAGAAAGGGGACATGTTGCACTTTGGGAGGCGGGCAGCAGAGTTTCGGATGACCTCAGGTTTACTGAGGGTAGAATTTAGGAGACAAGTGCATCAGAAGAATCAGGTTTAAATGTAACAAAGGAAAGAGCTAGGGTTTCAGCCACAGATGAGCCCAGGCGAGTATAAAGATGTACGATGTTACAGAGCAGAAACATACTGCAGCAGAAAGTGTGGAGTTAATTTTAACTTCATTCTCTCTTCAGGAAATTCAGAGGATCCATGGAACCACATCAAACTGAATCATTAACTCTGTATCTCTCTTCTTACTGCACAAACTGGCCTGCTGAGCATTTCCAGCATTTTCTGGTTTCATTTAGAATTTAAGGGATTTACAATATTTGGATCAGGAGGGATCTTGGTTTTGCTCCCTGCTTGATATGGATTTCCATTAGTTTCCCTGTTAAAATTCCTCAGTCTCTCCTTGTAAAGCAAAAGCTTCTTTCTATTGCTGACAAAGTAATTACAATGAATGATCCAAATGTTTCTCAGATTCTCCAGTATGAAATTTCTAACCAGCTTGGTGTTCCACAGGCTTTCTAAAAAAAAATGCCATACTGCACTGAAATGTTTATGTCGTAATGAAGCTAATTACATAGATACATTTTCATTTTACCACCGTGTGGCCTTTTTCACCCGGTAATTGCAGCAATCCAGTTTATATTCCATTTTCCCAAAGCCAACAGTTAAAACTAATAAGAAGTAAATAGACTCATTTTTCAGTTCACAGCCCTCCTCTGCATCATTGAAAGGTAGACAATCGAAATAAGCAGCAGGGTATTAATCAATAAGACCCAACACTGTGCATCAGTCGTTAAAGAGAAGCCACTGAGGTTTTTCATGCTTCCTGCTGTGACTTCAAGTAGAAACCCCAGAAAACGGCAAAACTAGATGTTTCTATCCATTTATATTGTTGTGCATTGAACCTTTACTGGATAACTTATAAATTCCTGCAGAGTATTTTTTTCTTCACTTAAATTTGCAAATGCCCAGAAATTTCTCCAGCTGAGAAACTTTCCATCTTCAGAAATACAGGATTTGCCTTTAATTTTTCAGTTTTTTCCTTTCATGGAGGGTGGGCGTCACTGGTTAGTCCAGTATTTATTGCCCATCCCTACTTATCCTTGAGATAGTGGTGATGAGCCACCTTCTTACAATTCATGTGATGTTGGTACACGGACCTTGACAATCATGAGATTGGCCCAAATTGCTTTACAACCATTGTATTTGTTGTATGTGCAACAAAGCCATTGTATACCAGCTAATGCCCGAGGAGTGGACAGGATTGCTGTCACTAATCCACCTTTCCACTTTTTCTCATTTTAAAACTTTATTTTTTGTTTACAATCCTCCTTTCTACTCTTCCCTGTTAAAGGAAGGATATTATTAAACTGGAGCGGTTTCAGGAAAGATTTACCGGGATGCTGCAGGGAATGGAAGTTTGAGTTATAAGGATAGGCTGGGACATTTTTCACTGGAGCAGAGAAGGTTTAGAGTAGACCTTAAAGAGGTTTATAAAATCATGAGGGGTATAGAAAAGGTGATTAGCAAAGGTCTTTTCCCTAGGGTGGGAATTTCATGACTAGGGGGTATATTTTTAAGGTTAGAGAAGAAAGATTTTAAAAAAAAGACATGGGGGCAATTATTTTACTCAGAAAGTGGTTCATGTGTGGAATGAACTTTCAGAGGAAGTGTTGGATGGAGGTACAGTTACAACATTTAAAAGACATTTGGATAAGTACATGAATAAGAAATGTTTGGAGGGATATGAGCCAAGAACCGGCAGGTGGGACTAGTTTAGTTTGGGATTACGGTCAGCATGGACTGGTTGGACCGAAGGGTGTGTTTCCGTGCTGTATGATTCTATGACTCTATAAAATCTTAATCATGTTACCAAGCCCCTAGAACTGGAATGGAAACTTACGAAAATCAAACCAAATCATTGCTTTCTGGAGTCATAAAGCACCCAGCCTCTGCAGTGCCCACCAGTCTCTAAAGCCATCCACTGCACCAGTGGGCAACACATGCTGCCTCTCAGTGGATACCCAAGCACAGAGGTAACTAATTGTGAAAGAAGGGCAGGCAGTAGGGTACTATAACCCCAATTCCCCTTTCTATACCCAAATCTAATGGCTTATTTGGACAGCATTGGCAAAAGATTGACAATCAGTGAGTCTTAATGAGAAGAAGCACTCATCTTAACAGATTTAGTTTATTGCATAATAACAAGAAATACAAGTTACACTGGCTAGTTGGGCACAACAATAACGGACATTATCAGGAGACAATGATAACATGTCTTCATGAGGATCTGAAGACTCCTCTTTTCCCTACCAAAGACTGCATGATATCACCAGACTGGGGGAACGTTAATACAGTTATAAAACTTTCAGAAATGTTACCTTATGCAGAATACTTTTGACGTATCGTTGTTGATGTTATGTAGGTAGCCATGACAGTCAGCTTCTGCACAGCAAATTCCCACAGATGACGCTGAAGTAAGTGATCAGTGTTGCTGTTTGAGGGATGTCCAAGACATCAGAACAACTCCAAGGTCTTTCTCAAATCATAATGCCGTGCAATCATTTGCATCTAGGTGAAGAGACAAACTGAACACATTTTAAAGTCTTATACGAAAGAAGGTAGCGCCAACAGTGCAGCACTCCCTGACACACTGACGCCAGCCTATTTCCAGAAGGAGGAGCTGAATGCAACATTCTTCTGAATCAGCAGTACGAGTGCAAAACTGAGCCAAGGCTGACACATCTTAGAACAGTGTGCGGTTCTTACATGGTGTAATTAGAATTGGTAGTAATTGGCTTTATTGACACAATTCTTGTCGCCAATCAATCATTCTAACAGGAGGTAAAATTGTCTGAACTGAAACAAAATGATGTGGCTTTCATCCTGGAGTTGTATATTCAGACCAAGAGCCCCTGGATAGCTATGGAAAACCTCTTCAAAGCTCTGGAAATGCTCCAGACTGTCTATGCCAATTACCAAAAATTCTTCTTTTACAACTCATTTTGACTCAAATCAGACCTAGGAACATTGAAACAGGAGTAGGCCATTCAGTCCTTCAAACCTGCTCCACCATTCAATTACTTCATGGCTGACCATCTATCTCAGTGCCACTGTCCTAAATATAAAGTCATACAGCACGGAAACAGACCCTTAGGTTCAACTCATCCATGCTGATCAGATATCCTAAATTAATCTAGTCTCATTTGTCAGTATTTGGCCCATATCCTTCCAAACCCTTCCTATTCATGTACCAGGCTAGATGCCTTTTAGATGTTATAATTGTACCAGTCTCCACCATTTCCTCTGTCAACTCATTCCATACATGCACCACCCTCTGTGAAAAAGTTGCCCCTTAGATCCCTTTTATATCTTTCCACACTCACCTTAAACCTATGCCCTCTAGTTTTAGATTCCCCTTTCCTGGAAAAAAGACCTTGGCTATTCACCCTATCCATGCCCCTCACGATTATATAGATCTCTACAAGGTCACCCCTCAGCCTCCAATGCCCCAGGGAAAATAAAACCTCCCATAAATATCATTATTCTTCAGGAGACAATTAATTTCTGTTTTGAACCAGCTCAATGATTGACCTTCGAGAGCTCTCTGGGGTGCGGAATTCTACTGATGCACCACCGTCTGATTGAAGAAATTGTTCCTCATCTCAGTTTTAAACAACTTATCCCTCACCCTGAGATTCTGTCACTGGTTTTAGACTCAGCAGCCAGAAGAAACAGCTTATTTTACAAGGAGTTGCTATCACAGGCAGATTGCCACTCCACTTTTTTATTCAAATCAAAAGAGCTCAGCATTTCTGATAGGAGATTCCAATCTTTCAGAAATGCAGAGCCATACGTTTGTTCTAACAGGTACTTTCAAGGGAAAACAAGCTCCCCCCGCTGCCTTCCACCTATTTCACAGCAATCAATTACCGCTGTCTGCAATTTAAAGGTCCAACATCGCAGACAGGCACTTTGATATCCCCTGAGAGAGAATAAGGACGTAAGGTCAGTGTGAAGTTAGGGTGCCATGTGGGTAAGATGCAAGGTGGTTAGGGGGTGAGGTGCCAGGTGAATAGGGTGCAAGGTGGTGGTTAGGGAATGGAGTGCCAGACAAGTAGGGTGCAAAGTGGGTAGGGGAATAAGATGCCAATGGGTAGGGTGCAAGGTAGCAAGGTAAGTGATGGAGTATTTAGGATCAGTCATGGTGGGCAGGAGATATGGAGTGTGGCCAAGGAGGGGAGGTCTCTGGTATGGAAGGGAATTTGGCAGGTCTCGCAGCAATGGGTGTCAGGTCCTGGGGAGTGGGGGCTGGGTCCTGCAAAGTGTTGCTCAATGAAGGTCCAGAAAGTGGAATGGGTCTACTTGGCATGGATGTGAGATAAGTTGGGGACATTAGTTGAATAGTTACTCATGAGTTAGAGTGGGATTTTAAGAATCTTACCCTTCTTGAGAAACTATTTACACAACTGAAGCGGAGTCCTCTGGGCTCTCTGATTTAAATATATACCTTCGCTGTGTTCCAAGCATCAGGAATTGCCCAGTGGAATCTTCAACTTCCCTCAGAATCTGTTACATCAGGAATTCTGCTGCTCAACTCCCATCCAAGCTGCAGAAACAATTATGTGGCCTTCAGAATGCCTGGTCCCTTATCTACATCCAACTCAGCAGGTCTGGCAGCATCTGTAGAGAGAGTTAACATTTCAAGTTCAATATGATTGTTCTTTTGAACTCCTTGATGGCTTAATATGAATTTGTGGAGCAAAATGATGCTCCAGTTCAGTGAATTTCTTTCTGTCCCATTGGCCCATTTTCATCTCAAGCCAATGCTTAAAGAACTAGTTAACATCTTGAATACAAATAGTTCACTCCAATATTTCACTTCTATCTGAAATTGTTACAAGCATGGACACTATTAAAACAAGATCATTTTGGGAAAATAATGTTACCAGAACCAAAAGTGATTTGACAGTTATCAATCTTAGTGATAAAAGGTAAAGTCATCATAGACCTACCAGACTACAGGGCAGCTCCCTAATTAGAGAGAGAGAGGAGAGACATCTGGTTGTTATTTAAGCTGAGAGTCTCCATGCCTCAGGCAAGGGGAGAGGTTGAGAAGGAGAATCCTTCATGGTAAACTTAGCCAATGTAGGAATTGAAACTATGCTGTTGGCATCACTCTACATCACAAATCAGTCATCCAGCCAACTGAGCTAAACCAATCTTAGGGGAGAATAAGATCATAGAAAGTCTGTAATGCAAACAGATTTTAATTTCTTGGTCCACTTCATAACATAGATTTAGATGTTTTGGTTCTCATGATAGTGTCTTCAAATTAAGGAAGTTTACCAACATTATACAAAAATGATATCCCACTTTAAGAGGTGTTCCTTACCCAGTATGCACCTCTTGCTGCTACCAACCAATCATCATGGAACAGAAAAGAGAACGTGCAACCCCAGACTCTTGATCCCCCTATTTTTGAAAAAATCTAAAAGCGATATCCTGCTTTTGCTGGAAATCTGAAATAAAAAGAGAGAACACTGGAGAAGTTCAGCAGGTCTGACAACAAACTGTGGAGAGAGAAATATTTAAGGCCGGGAACCTGATATATCTGTTTTGAAGAAGTTAACGTTGCGAGTTCAATATGACTCCTTTTATTTGAAAGAATTCGACCTTGTTGTATCATGTCTTGTAAGTCTCAAGATCACAGATTAGTTCCAGGGTGCCATCTACTGACACAGTGATGTCACAAAGAATCCCCAAAATCCATCTGCCGATAAAAGTAGAAGTCCTTAAATGCATTTTCTATAAGCCTGACAGAGGGCTTTTAAGATATTTTCCTACATTTCTCTTCTGCCTGCAAATAAACTGCTTCAGTTGGCAAATGGTCAGAAACATCAGTAGTTTAAAATAACTTTGAAATATTCTTCTTATTTAAAATTGTGTTAACATCAGCATGAGTGCTTCTGCGATTTTAAACATACTGAGACTATGGTCATAAGAGGGTTAATAAAATTCGACGTAGAAAAATAATGTGATATCATTTCATTCCTATATGTGAAAATTCTCCAAAGCTAGAATTAAATGCTCCCAGTTCTCAAACATCACCAGCACCTCACCTCAAAAGAACCAATTATAAATAGGCTATAGTTCAACCCATGTGCAGTCTCAGCTCATTTTTATCCCCAAAGACTTCGCAAGAATGTACTTATTCCTGTCCACTCTACACACTAATTCTCAGAGCCAGAGCAGCCATTCCAGTTACCCACATTCCATCTACCTTCCATCACTTTTTGAAATTTCCAACACCATGCAACTGTGAAGACAATCATAATTATCCCCAGAGATAATAGGAACTGCAGATGCCGGAGAATCCGAGACAACAAGGTGCAGGGCTGGATGAACACAGCAGGCCAAGCAGCATCATAGGAGCAGAAAGGCTGACGTTTCAGGCCTGGACCCTTCATCAGAAAAATTATCCCCAAACTGCTTTGAACTAATTGCATCTTTTATCTGCAATAAGGATGGATTCTTCACATACTCTGAGTGATGTGGGCGATGGTGGGAAAGCTGGGAGAATTGCATGAGAAATCAAGAGAGGCTTTTCTCAATATTCGGAGCAAAAAGTCACATTTTCCAACTACATTCCAGGTGTCAATATGAGATTTTCACTAGTGAGCAGTGAGAGGTTTATTAAGGGGGATTAGCATTCATTATCACCTTCATAATTACTTAATATCACCTCATTGATATACACGCCCCTATATTCCCAGTCACTGGATAGAAACTAAATGCCGCAAATTCCCAACATGAAAGTCAGAGTGGGATTCTGACAACTCCAGCTCCTTGATCCACCCAGACCCACCCCCCTGTCCTAACCACGGCCAATCCACCTAACGTGCACGTCTTTGGACTGTGGGAGGAAACTGGAGCACCCAGAAGAAACCCATGCGGACACAGGGAGAATGTACAAGTTTCACATGGACCACCCAGGGTGGAACTGAACTTGGGTCCCTGGTGCTGTGAGGCAGCAGTGCTAACCACTGAGCCACTAAAATTCTACCAAGGTAGGATTTGAACCCAGGTCCTCAGAACATTACCTGGGTTGGTAATCTAGTGATAATACCACTAAGCCATCACCTCCCCTTTGTCTCTACTTCTTCTTGTCTTTTCAGTACCAAGTTTTGTCCTTGTTTTCAGTCTGAATATATTGCAGAGCTTGCCATCAGAACTAATATGTAGTTAGACACCTTGCATTTCAGCAGGGAGCATGGAGTAGAGAGGTGATACACTAATTGTTTTTAATGACTATTCTGAGCAGTCAATAAGCGAGTGCAAGACCAGCTAATCTTGAGCACAAGATTAATTGAGCACAGTAAAGTCAGCTACAGCTGTCAAAAGAATGATAATTGTGTTTGAACCTAAGAAGACCAAGTAGGCAGAAGCACCCAAATTTGGTGCAGGATGGGAGATGAAGAGCAGGAAGGAAGAAAGGCTAATGGCAAGCTGAGGGAAGCAATCCCCAGGAAACATGCAGAAATTGTTGATGGATTCCAAGCTAGCTGGTAAGATTGAAACCAAAACACATATCTTCTCATTTGTAGAGAGTGCTTATTGATTTCCTCAGGCCTTCCCTCATCCCGTATACACAGTGTCACAGCTGCTCCTTATATGTATGTGCTCGGACAATAAATAACGATATATGTTTCTCTTAACTTTAAATGAAGACTTTAACAAACTTAACAATATGATTAACTAGATAGTAAAAGAAATTAAATACAGGAATGATAAGCAAGGATGAGAATTTTACAATCAAGATGTTGCTTGATTGTGAGGAAATCTAAGTCAGCAAGCATAGGGGTAAAAGGTGAATGGCACTGGTTAAAAGTTAAGACAAAGCAGCAATGTTCTGAATACTATTACGCTTACATAAGATAGAATTTGGGAGACCAGCTAGGACTGTCCTGGAATAGTTGAGTCTAAAGGGTAACAAAGGCATGAATGAGGGTTTCAGCAGTAGGTGAGGTGTGACATCATCATTATCATCATCATCATATCCGTACGGTATGGAAACAGGCCCTTCGGCCCAACAAGTCCAAGTCTGAGGATGTTATAGAGGTAGAAATGGACAATCTCAGCAAAGGCAGACATGTGAGGTTGGAAGCTTATCTCAAGATCTAATGTAGCACCAAAGATCACAAACATGGTGGTTTAATCAGGGTGTGTTGCAAAGGAACTGAATAGAGTCAGCAGCTTGGCAATGGATTTTGAAATGGAGACTGAAAACAATGTACTTAGTCTTCCAAATGGAAGAACTGTCTGACCACTCAGTGCTGGATGTCGGATAAGCAGTCTGGTATTATCGCTGGACTGTTAATCCTGAGACACAGATAATGTTCTGGGGACCCAAGTTCGAATCCTGTCACGGCAGATGGTGGAATTTGAATTCAATTTTAAAAATCTGGAATTAAGGGTATAATGATGACCATGAGTCCATTATTGGAAAAGCCCATCTGATTCACTTATGTCCTTTAGGGAAGGTAACTGCCATCCTGAGCTGCTCTGGTCTCCAGACCCACAGCAATATGGTTGAGTCTTAAATGCCCTCTGGCAATAAATGGATAGGCAATAAATACAGCCTAGCCAGTGATTTCCTCATCTTGTGAATTAATAACAGAATATTGTGGAGAAGAGGGCTGGTGGTAAGTTAGAGCTGGGTGTCTTCATGCAAGCTTAACACTGTGCCTTGGTATGTTGCTGCCAAGGGACAGATTGCAAATGAGAAATAAGATGCGCTCCAATTCCTGGATATTCTTACTGCATTAACTTGTTTGAAATTACAGCACTTCAACAGTAGTTGTACGCAGTAGCTCTGTAACACCCACAGATTTCATCCTTTTCTCAGCTCACCTGCTGCAGAAACCCCCAAGATCATATCCTCAGATATATGTTCTTGCATTTGGTAAGTTACCCACCTATGCCCCTAGATACCTCTCATACACCCGAGAATCATTTTCTTTAAATCTCCACTAGCTATTGCTCTTTCTCAGTCTCATTCCCTTGCACTTAGCTGCAAATAGCTAAGTTACCCTAAAGGCTTTATGTCATATAAATACCTATTAAAGTCTTATGACTCACAATTTTGAAAACTTCAAACAAATTTCCACTTGGCCGTCTCTTCTCCAGGGAAACACTCCCCACATTACCACAGATTGTAGACTTTGCGATTGGGCTGTCGGAATTTGAGGGTGTGGCTTAGGTCGAACACTGTCTTAACTTGTTCGTTTTTTTTCTAGAAGTTGGCTCCTTGTTTTTAGTCATCTGCTTCATCTGAAATTGAGTGGCTTTAATCCACAATTTTGTGACTCAAAGGTGATTGAGATACCAACTGAGCTAATGTTAATGCTTGCCTTACACCTGAAGAGGGGAACTGTCAGCGAAGTTCCAGAGCATTACAAATATTTGCAGAACCCTCTTTCAACATGAATCGCTGCCTTCCAGACAGATTGGAGGAAAACATGGGTAGGAAGGCTCTATACAAAAAAAAAGTGACGTGTAAATTGTGATCGTGTTAAACAATTTGTCCTGTGCCTTGCAACAAATAAGGCAGATAAATCAGCCAGCTCAAAGACAGGCCACTCTCTCTTCTAACTAACGTTGTACAATCCCATTTCAGAATGAATGATTTTGAATTTAATCTCCTGCTGTCAAAATTGTTCTAATTCAAGTAAACAGCAATGGAAGCATAAACTCATAAAGCTGATTAATGTCAGCCAGTGATCCCTCTGAACAGTGTGTCCAGCTGACCTTAATTGTAAACAAGGGGCTTGAGGTTAACTGATTGTATCTCAATATATGGTGAACTAATGGATTAATTAGAAGGAGGATAATATATTGAGTGTTTCATGTTTCTGATTCTCAATACATTGAGATAGAGAACGTGTTTATTGCTGCAGGGAAAATGCTAGTGTATTGCATTTTTCTTTATGCTAACCCAACAACGAGCTAATCCTTCTTCTGGCCTCATCCTACACAAGAGCTACCAACATTCTGCATCACCAATTGCCACATTGCCCAATCTATTGTTAAGTATAGACTGCCTAAGATCAAAACAATGTAGCTATTTTGCAGAAGTCACAAAACTTTCACAACGCACAAGTCAGCCAGAGTCGCAGCCATCATGTCTCCCTGAGGAGCCCCACCTTACATGTGGTTGGACTGAAGGTATATTAAATTGCAGGCAAGAAACCACAAAGACAAACAAAGCTACAAAAGTATCAGGTCGGTGTCTGAACTACAAACATGCAGCTTTATTTTTTCACCTCATCACAATAGCAAACCTTCATTACAACTGATTGCTCTCAGACACGAAGAGGTTACTGCCTCTGGGTCGAGAGTGAAGAAGAATTTTTCAAGCATTTTGAATTCAAAGCTTACATCATATGGTTAAAAATATGAAACATTAAGAGGTGGTCAACTTTTATGATGGATGGATTTCAGCTAGGAAAAAAAGGGGACCGAAAGTGTTAATTTAAGTAATTTGGGCTCCAAATTTTTCAGTTAGCTTGCCAAATATGAAAACAGATAAAACAACTGATTCACCTCAGGGTAAAATCTATTTTTTTTCCAAATTTGGAACAACTTGTGACAATACTAATAAACAATAAGCAAAAGGGTTTTGATAGGGGAGAACTGTAGGTAACTAGAGGACACAGATGTAAGGTATTTGGCAAAAGAATTGGAGGGGAGATGAAGAGAACTGTCTTTACACAGTTAGTTTTAGATCTGGAATGTGCTGCCTGAAAGGGCAATGATAACAGATCCAACTTTCAAAAGGGAAAAGGATATGTACTTGAAGAGCCGAAAATTTTCAGAGCTATCATGAAACGGTGGCAAAATAGAATTACAGCAATTGCATCATTCTTTCAAAGAGGCATAATGGACTGAATGGCTTCCTTCTGACTGAATAGTTTTAATATTATAATAAATCACATTCTACTGTCACTGGGTTTGGAACAGAGCCACAACTGCACAAGATAAATTTTACAAAGATCCAAAAACAGGAGATGCCTGAGGAATAAGACAAATTATGAGATTAGACACTAAACTGAAAAGCTATTGCTTGCCTTTATTGTGTAACAAAATTAGTACTTCTCAGTAACTTTAAAATGTTTCAATGCATAATATATGAGATCCTCAAAAGTCTGAGGTATTTTGGAATGTTGTCTCTCTGTGTACACTCTGAATGCAAGTGCATCCAAAGCGAAGGATACATTCATGCTACGTTGGATATGTAAATTTAGGAATACAAAACCTAAGCAAAATATGAAAAAGACCAATAAAGGTTGTTGCTATTAACCCATCTAGGCCAGCTAGAAGACACTTACGCCTCATCTGATGTTTACCCATTGAGTGTCTGAACCTTATTAAGTAGGAATGGTAGGTTGGAACAAAGGCTAGACCAATGTTAATCTAAGCAGGGGCAGCAGCAGGTATAATTGACTGTGGTGCCCTTAAGAAGAACAAATTAGGCCAACTTCTCACTCCAAGTCATTATCAAGTGATCCATGCTAGAATTGTGTATATGTTTGTGTGTGGAAATTAAATATAGACAAAATTGGACTCAACTCTAAGCAACCCATGAGTAAAGATCCTGCCAACACCAAATATGAAGGGTACATGAGGGAGACTGGTACCCTAAAGGAACAGGCACCAATGATGGAGGAGGAATGGGGAGCAAGGAGTAGGCCCATGGCAGAGCAGTGGAGGATACATTGAGAGACATGAAAGTTACAGAGGTCATGTGTGCTAGAAGGTAAAGAAGGGCAAGGTGATGGAGGGTTTGGCAAGCATGACAACGATCATAACGTTGATTCTGTAGAGCCTAGCAAGGACTGGAGGATGTATGTAGTGACTTGTAACAGAATGTGAAGGCCAAAGTACTATCAAGGAGAGCACCGAAGAAATGGGAGTTCCACAGGTCAATGTTTCAGAAAGAAAAGAGGTGATGAAGATGTTCGTTTGCATGTGGAAGAAGAAATTGAGCAATGGGTTGAGCAATACACCAAGACACCCTAACCTCAAATTATCTCATATCTGAGTTGAGTCTAAGTCAATCAAAAGCAGGCCAAGAATGAAATTTCTCAGCTATTCGTCATAGTTTCAGATGCAGTCTTGTGTGAGTACATGTCCTACACTGCAAGAACAAAAATTTAAGGTTGATATTCCATAGTGACTCACAGCACCAGAGTCCCAGGTTCAATTCCAGCCTTGGGTGACTGTCTGTGTGGAATTTGCACATTCTACTCCTGTCTGAGTGTGTTTCCTCTAGGTGCTCCAGTTTTCTCCTACAGTCCAAAGATGTGCAGGTTAGGTGGATAGGCTATACAAACTTACTCTGTAGAATCCAGTGATGTGCAAGCTGGGTAGGTCAGCCATGATAAATGCAGGATTATGGGGAAAAGATGGGATGGTCTGGGTGGGATGAGCTATTAACAGTCAGCGCAGACTTGATGGACTGAATGGCCTCTTTCTGCACTGTAAGGATTCTATGATTCCACTGGTGCTTGAGCCAGCAAAGCACTGTCAGAGGAGTCATCTTTCAAATGAAACATTAAACGGAGACTGGTTCTACCACTCTGAGGTGAATCCATGGTGCTGTTTTGAAGGAGAACAGTGGAGTTATCCCTGGTCAATACTTATTCCTCAATGAGCATCAAAAAAAACTGCAAGTTAGCACTTTTGATAAAGTACCTCACAAGGGGTGGCTTAGAAATATTAAAGCATGTGGTATAGGAGGCAATAAGACCATAGCAAATAGGAAAAGGAGTAGGCCATTCGGCCCCTCAAGCCTACTCCACCATTCAATAGGATCATGGCTGATCCAACATCCCTTACAACCACTTTCCTGCATTTTCTCCATAACTCTTGATTCCATTACTGATCAAGAATCTATCTCAGCCTTAAATATTCAAAAGGCTGGGCCACTTTTGGAAAACTGCATTCTGTTCTGGTCTCCCTGCTATAGGAAAGATATTGTGAAACTTGAAAAGGTTCAGAAAATATAGGGTCAGAGAGTTTGAGCTACAGGGAGACGCTGAATAGACTGGGTCTATTTTCCCTGGAGCGTCAGAGAAAGAGGGGTAACCTTATAGAGGTTTATAAAATCATGAGGGGCATGGATAGGGTGAATAGCCAAGGTCTTTTCCCCAGGGTAGGGGAGTCCAAAACTAGAGGGCATAGGTTTATGGTGAGAGGGGAAAGATTTAAAAAGGGACCTAAGAGGTAACTTTTTCACGCAGAGGGTGGTATATGGAATGAGTTGCCATGGGAAGTGGTGGCGGCTGGTACAAATTTAAAAGGCATCTGGACGGGTATATTAATAGGCAGGGTTTAGAGGGATATGGGACAAATGCTGGCAAATAGGACTAGATTAATATACAATACCTGATAGGCATGGACTAGTTGGACTGAAGCATCTGTTTCCATACTATACAACTCCATGACTCTATGACTCTGCCCCAACAGCAGCTTGTGGCTAGGAGTTTCAAAGATTCACACTGTCTAAGAAAAAAAATTCTTCCTCATCTCAGTCTGAAATTCATGACCCTTTATTCTGAGAATATGCGCTCTGGTCCTCGACTCTCCCATGAGGGGAAACATCCTCTCAGCATTTATCCTGTCTAGCCCCTTAAGAGTCCTATATGTTTCAACGAGATCACATCTCAATTTTCTAAATACCAGAAATTAGAGTCCCAAGCTGTTCAGCCTTAGCTTGACAGACAATCCCCCCATACCAGGGATAATTCCAGTGAACCTTCTCTGAACTGCCTCGCACTTAATGAAATCTTTGCTTAAATATGGGGATGAAAACTGCTCACTGTATTCCAGGTGTGATCTCACCAACACCTTGTACAGTAAGGCCTCCCTACTCTTATCCCCCAAACCCCTTGAAATAATGGCCAACATTCTATTAGCCTTCCAGATGACTGCTGCACCTGTGTGCTAGCTTTCTGTGTTTCATGTACAAGTACCCCCAAGTTCCTTTGTGTTGCAGCTTTCTGCAGTTTCTCTCCATTTAAATAATACTCTGTTCTTTTGTTCTCCCTTCCAAAGTGAACAACTTTGCATTTCGCACATTATACTCTGTTTGACAGCTTTTTGCTCAACATATTGGCATGGATTCGTGATTGGCCTGCAGACAAAAAAACAGAGAATATGAATAAATGTTGGCATGCTGTGA